CCGAAGATGATTATGGTACGTTCGTTCTCACTATGATCAATGGAAGAACTACAGTTAGCTACAAGGAGGTGACCTCAGCTTTGGTGAACTATGAGTTGAGGAAGAGTGATGGTGAACCCTCCGAGAAGGCATCGGGAGATGCGTTAGCAGTTCGAGGCCGAGATCCAAACCGTCGTCAGTTTAACCGCTCAAAGTCAAAGAATAGGAGTGCCTATAAGAGTGTTGGTAGAAATCAATGTCGGTATTGTAAAGAAGAAGGACATTGGAAGATTGACTGCCCAAAGTGGAAAGAAAAAGCCGGAAAGAATAAGGGGAAAGCTGCACAAGCTTCAGAAGTGAATGTTGCAAAAGCTATTGGTGAGCATTCAGATTCAGATTCTTCAGGCTATTCATGCCCTGCTTTACCGTCGGTTTGCTATGCGGATTCCACGGAGTGGATGATGGATTCGGGAGCTACATATCATATCTGCCCTAAGAGGGAGTGGTTCTCTAGCTTTGAGGAGCTGGAAAGAGGGGATGTCGTGCTTATGGAAAATGACCATGTATGTCCTATTAGTGGTATTGGTTCAGTCCAGATTAGGATGCATGATGGTGTAGTGAGGGAGTTGAAGTGCCCTATTGGTGGTATTGGTTCAGTCCGGATCAGGATGCATGATGGTGTAGTGAGGGAATTGAAGGAAGTGAGGTTCGTGCCGCAGTTGACGAAGAACATCATTTCTCTTGGGACTTTGGAGGCAGCAGGATATCGAGTGATCTTAGAGGATGCTACAGTGAAGGTCACGAAGGGTTCTATGGTGGTGATGCGAGGTGTCAGGGAAAACTACCTATACTACTTGAAGGGCAAGACAGTTACAGGGGGTCTGGCAGCTTCTATCACTACAGAGGAGGACACTACCACCTTATGGCACATGAGACTTGGACACACAGGAGATAAGTCCCTACAGTCATTGGCTAAACAGGGGCTATTGAAAGGTGCTAAGACCTGCAAGATGGAATTGTGTGAGCATTGTGTACTTGGGAAGAAGACTAGAGTGAAGTTTGACACCGCTGTTCATAACACCCTAGGTACATTGGATTATATTCACACAGACGTTTGGGGTCCTTCCAATAACACATCTCTTGGTGGGGCCAACTATTTTGTCACTTTCATTGATGATTATTCCAGGAGGAATTGGGTATACCCGATGAAGCATAAACATCAGGTCCTGGATATTTTTGTGTAGTAGAAGAAGAAAGTGGAGCTGCAGACAAGTAAAAATGTGAAGACTCTACGTTCAGATAACGGTGGAGAGTACAAGAGTGATCCGTTTCTGCAGTTTTGTCGGGATCACGGCATTAGAAGACACTTCACAGTTCGAGAGACACCGCAACAGAACGGGGTGGCTGAGAGATTGAACCGTACCTTGCTGGAGAAGGTGCGGTGTATGATGACACAGAGTGGATTGCCTAGATCCTTTTAGGCCGAGGCGGTAGTTTATGCGAGCCATCTCGTGAACAGGTTGCCGTGCACTGCGATAGACGGGAAGACTCCTTTGGAGCGTTGGTTTGGTTCGGTGGCTAGTGACTATGAGTCGCTTCGGATATTCGGGTGTCCAGCTTATTATCATGTCAGTGATAGTAAATTAAATCCGAGAGCGAGGAAAGCAGTCTTTGTGGGATTTAGAGATGGAGTCAAAGGCTTCAAGTTATGGGATCCACAGGACAAGAAGATAGTCATTAGCAGAGATGTCACATTTGATGAGGCGTACATGATGAGGCCTCGAGCCCCTCAGCAGGTGGAGGGAGACCAGACAAGAGAGATATCGCAGCAGGTGGAGGATGATGTGACTCCACCCACTCCAGAGAGCACTGTATCCATCGAGGCTCCTACAGAGGTGACACTGGGAGGAGATGAGATGACAGATGGGCAGATACAGGATGATACAGTGGATCATGGGACTCATGAACAGGGTCATGTTCAGAGGTCCATTGCAGCAGATAGACCGAGGGGAGAGATTCGTCGGCCAGCTAGGTATCATGATGTCATGGTCGCATATGCATTATCAGTGGAGGTCGTTGATGATATGGTTCCAGCCACATTCAGGGAGGCAGAGTCTAGCCCCGATTCGATCAGGTGGAGGGAAGCTATGGAGGAGGAGATGCGGTCTCTTCAGAAGAACGACACTTGGACACTTGCACATCTACCTAAGGGTAAGAAAGCTATTGGTTGCAAGTGGGTATATGCGAAGAAGGAGGGATCCTCTATTGGGGACATTCGGTTCAAAGCCAGATTGGTTGCCAAGGGATATGCACAGCTTGAGGGCATTGATTACAACGAGGTATTTTCACCCGTTGTGAAGCATTCGTCGATTCAGATTTTATTGGTGTTGGTGGCACAGTTGGATTTGGATTTGGTCCAGATGGATGTGAAGACAACCTTTCTACACGGAGATTTAGATGAGGAGATCTACATGACACAACCCCAGGGTTTTAAAGCTGCAGGAAAGGAAGATTTGGTTTGTAATCTGAAGAAGTCTCTTTATGGTTTGAAGCAGTCGCCAAGACAGTGGTATAAGAGATTCGACGGCTTTATGATTGGCCGAGGGTACACGAGGAGCCCATATGACCCATGTGTTTATATGCACAAGCTACAGGATGGTGAGCTCATATATTTGCTTTTATATGTTGATGATATGCTTATTGCTTCCAGGAATTCTTCGGCTATTCGAAAGCTGAAAGAGGAGTTATCATCCGAGTTTGAGATGAAGGATCTTGGAGAGGCAAAGAAGATATTGGGTATGGAGATCGAGCGAGACAGGGTGAAGGGGAAATTGAAGCTTACACAGGTAAAGGCGATCAATGAATTACAACCTCCGAGGAACCTCAGGGACCTCAGAGGATTGCAAGGACGATTGGCTTACATCCGTCGGTTCATTTCGAACCTCTCAGGAAAATGCCAACCATTCTCCAAGCTCGCAAAGAAGGGTGTGTCTTTCGTATAGGATGACGCTTGTCAAAAGGCATTCGTGAGTATTAAAGAATATCTCTCGAAACCTCCTGTACTCGTTGCACCGAAATCGGGCAAACCATTCTTGATTTATGTCAAGGCGACGAGCCACTCGTTAAGTGCATTACTTGCACAAGATGACGATAACGGTCACGAGCAGGCAGTGTATTACTTAAGCCGAACCATGGTGGGCGCCGAGTCTCGATATCCTATGATTGAGAGGGAATGCCTCGCCTTGGTATTCGCCATTCAGAAGTATTCAGAAGATGCGGCATTATCTGGTTGGACATACCATTTACGTCATCTCTAAAGTTAATCCAGTTCGAGTATTCATGACTCAACCGGCGTCAATGAGCTGGCGGTTAGCAAAATGGGCCTTACTCTTGTCCCAATACGACTTGCATTTCAAGCAACAGAAGTCGGTAAAAGGACAGGCCATCTGCGATCTCCTGGCAGACAATCCAACGACGGATACCGCCGAGATATATGACGGCTTACCAGATGAAACCCACGAAGTCAACGCAATTTCACACCAACAAATATGGCGCTTATACTTCGATGGCGCTTCGCGAGCAACTAATGTTGCAAGTGCTCTTGGAAGTTCTAAAATCTCCTCCGGAGTTGGAGTAGTCCTAATTTCCCCAGGAAAACTTGTGATGCCTCGCGCCTACTCGCTAACCGAGCCATGCTCGAATAACGTAGCAGAGTATAACGCATTGATCAATTAAGGAGGCTTTATGGTTGCGTGGATTATTGGAGGACTTGGGGATTGCTCAGGAGACTATTAGGATATATTGTGATAGCATGTCAGCTATTTATTTGGCGAAGAACCAGGTTTATCATGCGAGCACGAAGCACATCGACGTCAGATTCCACTTTGTTCAGGACGTCTTGGATGATAGAGATGTCATATTGGAGAAGGTCCACACAAATGACAACCCTGCAGATATGTTGACCAAAGTTGTTTCAGGAGTGAAATTTGGTCATTGTTTGAAGCTTTTGAACATCCTTCAGTGCTGAGGCCGTTGGCGGCCATTTGTATGAACTACGTTCGGCTTGAGTCGAGTTCGAACCACGAGATTGGCGTTTCCCCATCATCGACTACGTCCTGCATGGAATCTTGCCAGATGATGTAAAGGAAAGAGAGTCAATCAGACGAAGAGCACCCAGATTCTACTACAATACCGAGAATCGAACGCTGTACCGCAGGGGGTACGATGGGTTGCTATTACGTTGCCTATCAACCAAAGAAGCTGAAGAGGTCCTTAGGGAAGCGCACGAAGGAGAGTGTGGCGCACACCAACCTGGTCCTAAGCTTTATGACCGCATCAGAAGAATGGGGTATTTCTGGCCTTCCATGATGAGTGATGCAAAGCCTCTAAGAGAGATTTGTGGCATCCAATTGTGGGAGAGCTTTGAGAGATCAAGTGCTTTGTTTTAGGGTTTGGTCTGAGAGATTTGTAACCCTATTTGTATTCCCTTGATTTCTAGTAGTAAAATCTCCCCCCTCCTTGCCCCGTGGACGTAGGCAACTTGCCGAACCACGTAAATTCTTTGTTCTTGCTGTGATTGTGGTTTGCATATTGTTTGTGGTTTAGTTCAAGTTATTGTTCGTGTTGCCCTAAAAAGCTTCCGCCGCGCACAACATTTCTAGTTGTTTATTGTGCCATCAATACTTGGATATTCAATTCCCCTGTGGTACTTATGACCCTGCTACATATTTTAATTAGTGAAATTTCCCTCTTGATATTTCTTCCACTTGTAGTGTACGTTTATCCAAAGCTATGCACGTCTTTTATTTGTTATTCTTTAGTTACTATTGACGCTTTTATATTTCTAAATTTGAAATATTGGAGAGCTACGCACCTAGTTTATGAAAAGCTCAAATTAACTATGGTCTGCGATTGCCAAGAATATGTAAAATATTTCCATCTAACAACGGTTAGGCGCATTTTCATATGAAGTTAGGTAATGAATCTTGGAACATCCTAAAGCATTCAAAAGAGGAGAAGTCTCAGTAGCTGACCTGAGACAGCAGACACAGCAAAGACTCCATCATGTTCCTCGCTAGAGAATCCCCAACAAACATCAACTTCTTTCCCCGAACAACCCTCAAAAACATGCGTGCGTCGAACCTCGGCAACTCGCAACCTTCAGGTTTCCATCTCCAATACACGAAACCCTGATCCTTCCCGTACTTGCCGCAGTTCTTTGAGTCTGGCAGCGTCGGACAGGTGGTGCTCGTGTACGGCGACCCCCTCTCATCCTTCACCCACTTTCCCTCGAACAAATCGCACGCTTCGTTCTTCTGGCTTTCCATTTCCTTAGCCACCGGGGTGTCGTCGCTCCCACTGGCTTCAGAACGGCCTCCGCTCTTGTCCGTAACGTGTTCTCGCTCAATGTCGCTGCTGGAGTATTTTGAGGAATTACAAATTGCTTGTGATGCAATGCTGCGGCTCCCGTTGGATTGAGAAACATCTCCGCGATCGTTATTATCGATCATGGATCCTGAAGAGCTTGGTTGCGTAACGACGACAGACTCCTTTAGTTGGGAACTACTAATTGGTGGCGACGTAATATCGCTCTCGCTGGATGGAGAATTTGCTCTTACACTTTGTTCGGGGTTTGGAGAGTTGGAGTAGCGTCCTAAGAGAGAAGAGCTCTGGTTTTTGCTGTTGATGCTGAAAGGGCCAGGCGAATTCAAGACGAAAAGAACGAAGATTGTGGAGAGGACTAATAAGAAGAACAAGATGGAGCTTAGTTTGGTTTTGATCGGTTTCCAGTATTCGATGGTGGCGGTGAGATTGGGGGTGGGAGGTTTCATGATTGGAGAACTAGTTAAGAGGAGGGGATATTGTTTTCTTTTTGGCAAACTAACTCCAAATAAAGAAGAAGAAGAAGAAGAAGAAGAAGAAGAAGAAGAAGGGTATTATATCTACGTCATTTGCTTCTTTTTATTGTGTCTCTTCACCTACTTCAACTACTCCAGTGTGTTCGCTGGCTTCGCTAGCGTGGGAAATTTAAAATTCCCCTCAGTTTATCTGTCCATGTTGCTAGAGATCAGGGATTAATTTATTCCTAATAGATAGCAAGGACAAGAATGATGTGACAAATTTATCAGCTCAATAATGCTTTAAGATAAGGTTGCCAACTATATCCTAATCCAAACCCAAATTCTAAAATTCCTAGCATTAACACACATTTTAGTTAAAAAAAATGGTTAATCTTAACCCAATTCAATCGTAATCCTATCTGATCTCTTCACTTCAACTTGGAGCGGCTTGAGTTGTATTCGACTTGATCACTTTGGGTCACGTTGATCATGTTGAATGTAATTGGTCAACTCTAATTCTTAAAAGGAAAAAGGGCGTTAGGAAAAAAAAAAGCCAATGCAATTGGTTCAGTGTTTGACACGAAATCCAACTTGTGCCCCTTAATTTTAAAACCCACTGACTCCCAAGCTCACAATTTGTTGTCTTAGATGCCACCCAAAAAAAAGGATGCCTAAAATGTATAATGAGAGTGGATGTTTAATGCTTAATTAGAGAACAATTTTTATGGTAATTACTCGTGCCTAAGTCATCCTATAAACAGTTTAAATACTGTTTAAAACCCCGTAGTCAACCGTTGAACTGAACACGCTGGTACCATGTGATGAATGTTTAATCAAAGTAATATGCATTGAACTAATTATGAATCCACTAATCATCAACAAACGGTAATATATGTTTGAAAATATGAAGTCATAGGATTTATGATAAGTGCAACTAGTTATAAATCAATTGGATGTGTTTCATGCCGTTGTGACTTGTGATTCTCCATTATAATATAGTAAGTTAACAGCTCACACCCCTATACAAAAAAGAGAAGAAGAAAGAAAGAAAAGCTGGAACCTCGGAATAAAATGTTTTGGGGCAAAAATGTTTGAAGATAAATAGAGGATAAAAAATATCGACAAATTGCAAAAAAATTTAAGATACAGAGTAAATGATTGCTATGCTCCATGCCTCATAAAAATTGTGAATTACTTGATCCCCACCCCCGCCCCCACATCTTTTCCCACAAATGTGAACAATTTTTTGTGTGAAATTGAGCCCTGAAAGATCCTAGGTTTAAAACAATCTCATGGAGTTTCCCAAAAAAGAAGGTTAAAAAAAAGAGAGAAGAAGAATTGAAGAGCGCTTTTAAATTTTAAACTACAGACGTTGGAATCTCTACTTCCACGAACAAGAAATCTAGTTAGGTGAGGTCAACTGCAGGTAATTGGTATATTTATAATTTGCACAAGTCATATCTAAGTTATATGCACACATATATCATTGGCATCATCACTTTCTCAAAGTACAAAAACATAAATTATATACATTTTCCCTTTGCTGGTAGCTCTCCTACAAACCCCAATGTCAGGTTCTGACTAGAATCAGTGACCTACTACCATCATTAACCAGAGTGGGATTTTGTTTGGCTTGTTTAATGGTGCACGTAGATGTTTTACAGATTTCCACAATTAAGAAATTTACAATTTTCGAACCATAGCAAATTGTCTAGGCAAGCTTTCTGTGCTGAAAAGTCATTAAACATAACTCTATATGTAGAACCATCTGCTTGATTGAGAAACAAAACATTTTGAACAAAAATTGTCGCCCAAGCTTGAAGGATCCAATTTTATAAAAGAAAACATATATATGCGGATGATTAACATAATTGGTCCACTTTAAAAAAAACATAATCGGTCCAAGGTAAATGACTCATGGCGATGGAAAAGAATTGTCAAAGTTAAAAACTACATGCTTATGCGGTGGGGAGGTGTTGATGCTTGCGTGTAAATTCTAGCTGCTTGTTGTGTAGGGGGTAAGTTCAAATTTTCTAGTGCATATAATGCTCTTTATAATGGTGTGATATATACCTAGGGTTGGGTGTGGTTCGGATTGACTCGCGGGCTGACCCGACCCACCCTGCCATGGGTCACAACCGGCCCGTAGTGGGCTACGTCTTAACCTCGTTCATGATATACCCAGGTCACGGGCCAGGTTAGGTCCAGCCTCAGGCTCGGGGTCAAAGAAGTAGGTCCGACCTGCCTCGACCCATAATTTTGTTTAATTTCAGCTTGACACAAAATTAGGCCATCTTTAAAATAAAAAAAAATATAAACTTGGTGTGTCGTTTGTCGGGTTGAAGAGTTAACGACTACTCTTTTTATTTGGACTGTTTGGGAAACTTCTTCATAGTTTTACATGGGAGGTTTTCCATAATGGTCCTCTTTTATATGTTTCTTGCAAGATACAACATTTCTAGTGTTTGAATAAATAATATCTTTAGAGAATTGATAGGTAGTCCACTTTCCTTAATATGATAAGCAAATAATAGTCTAGTTTTTGTGATATGAGATGTAACTTGTGTCTTTTTTTAGAAAAAGAAAACTGTATCTTTTTCATAATAAGTAGCATATTTGCACATACATAGACATGTGAAAATAAGATTAACTTTTCATCTGAACAAATCTTTCTCTTAAATGTTAGTTATATTGTACAGACTCAATGTTTTGTGACTTAGTTAATAGTATGTATCAGTGTAGGAAATAATTTAGTAAGAAAATAGAGACAAATAACCTCACTACAAATTTTGAGTTATATTTTTTATGTCATACATGACATATTTAAAAATTTTGAAAAAAGCAATAAATATATTATAATATTTAGTAGAATAAATATGAAAAAAAACTTCACAGTTAGTGGCTTACAATGAGTAATCGTATGATATATATATTTATGTTTAAAGGGGAAAAATTTTCATGCAATAACTATTTCCTATAGATGGGTTTACGAGTGCAAGGGATACTACTATATGTTTTGTTTCCATCCTTACATGATATTCTATACATCTTATTTTCTAGTCACAATTAGAAGTTCAAAGCTCATGAATAAAAATTTTGTTAATAAGTCCTTAAAAATATATTAACAACCAGAAAGCAACAAAGTTGTCATCTTAAAGCAGGTTATGAATTTGGGAACCCTAGATACATGATTTTCATTAACATGTTTATGGATCTCCTATTAAGTAACAATATGCTACTGTTTCACCTATTCTCTTTGTTAATTGAATTCGTCTGAGACTCAAGTTGTGGAGAGTTTCTAAGGTGTAGTTTGTTTGTTTCTATAGACACATAAAAATTTTAACTTGAATACCCTAACACCCTCTAATCATATTGTTGCCTTAAATATACCAAGGTTATCTTGAAAGTGAAATCAACTTGAGAACACCTGCATCTCATTTAATCAAATATAAAAATTAACTTGAGAATAGCCTCTCTATATTAATTAATTCAAGGAGACATGCATTCCCCCCGATATATATGAAATATGATGAGCTTAACAAGTCTTATCAATAAAATTCAATATGAGGATGGTAGCAGCTCATGAATTAAAATCAATGTGAGGATGGTAGCATCATACATAAACCAAACATGCGAGTACTTATGCACCCTCTCCATTAATCTAATACAATGACACATGTCTTACCCCTTCATATTAATCACATTCTCAAACTTGAGGGCGCATATCGATTTCAAAGTATTGTCATGTGATCATAAGTCTTGGCAATAAAATCTCACTCGAGGATGCTCACCCTCATACAAACCTAATTTCAGCTTGAAGGTATATGGGCTCCTCATAATACTTCTTTTAAGAAACACAAAAGATAACTATGATAAATACATAAGAAGTGAAAAGTAAAGAAAATTCGTTATGATAAACAAATGCAAAAATCTTGATAAATAAGTTATTATAACTTCCCCAGTAATCTCTTTTCAACACCAGGAGACAACTTCACCCGGCCTTCCCTACAAATAGATATTTCTTTCGTCACGGAAAGGAGACAAAAAAGAATGATAGAAAAAGATAGATAAAAGTTGAGAGAAATTAGAAAGAAAGAGAGATTTAAAGTGTGAAAGAGCAACGACAATGTCCTCCGTATTTTTTTTATCTTTTTAAAAGAGAGGAGGGCTCTAAAACATTGTGTGGAGACCCAAGATCTCATCTCCTTTCTCTTTAATTTTTATACATTAGAAAGATAATAAAAAATATTTGACTTCTAATGCCTATTTAATTCTTTACTTTCTACTAATCAGGATTTCTTTTAATAAGAGTAATTAATAGAAAAAATAATTCTCTGTAAGCATGCACCTCACAATCTTTTTACAAATAAGTTGATACTAATATGTACCTAATAAGTAAATATTTATGGATCGCTCTACTCTTCTTGAGATTTGTGATACAGTGCTCAAAAAGAGACTAGCCTACCTAAATATTATTTCTCCTCTGATGGATATTAGCACCACTTTGAACTTTTGTGTAAAATATACACTTCATGTATTCCGATGCTTACAGTTTCATCATTTGTCTTGGTGTTCGTATGCAAAAAGAGTACCAGATCAAAACATCTACTTATCCTCTTATTGATTTACTTCCATTTGCAAACTGTCATTTGAGGGGAATCTGACTTAAGTTTTTTTAGCATTGTAATTTATTAGCCATTTAGTTTTTTATACAATAGTTTAGGTTTCATAACTTTTAATGTTTAGGATTTGTGTTATGGTGTTCACTCACCCAAGATACGGATATTTGTAAAATGATACAATAAGAGTCCTAGCAAAACAAACTCAACCCTTTGGTCGACTCCCACAGTCGTCTCTCGGCCTTAGGGAAGGAAAGACCTAGTTAACTCTCAAGAGTTCTAGGCATTTGATTCCTCAGTCGAATTACAAGTCCTTGGCTCTTTATCAAGGTAAGCCTAAGGCACGACATATGGTCAAATCCTCCAGTGCAACTCGACCATCATGACTAATTACAAGACTTTGGTACCTTATTAGGGATAAACCTAAGGCACAATCACAGATGCCTCAGACCCACCGGCTCATCAAGTCGACACTCTGGTGTCGACACCAGAGGCGATATTGGTAGGCACGAGAGATCATGACCTCCCAGACGAGTCGACATCTTTATATCGACTCGAGAGACGGTTATTAGCTGAAGGTGAGACGACATTCTAACCAGTCGGACAGGCCGACACTCCTGAGTCGACGTGAAAGACGGTGTCGGTCGACCCTATCATCAAGGACGACCCTACTTAGGGCACTCGACCACTCACCGCGTATTTCTCAGAAACGACTGGAGGGACATTCCCTGCTGCCGATTAAGTTGAGAACTCGGCCCCAGCCCCAAGCCTCTATCCCAGAGCATATGTCAACATCTCAGTCCACCTCGGACAAGCCTTATCTAGACTTTGGCCTGATAGGTATCCATTAAAGATGAAACAATGAGGTTCAAAAAATTGGAGACGGAACAATTTAGAAGCTGCGCGGTTGACCGTGGGTGGCACGACGATCGACCGTGAACGTGTACAGCACATGGAAAAGTCTCTAGACTTTTGACGGTCGACCGCGTCGATTGGATGGTCGACCGTGAGATACTGTAATTAGTTTTTAGGTTCCGTCGTTTGCCACGATCGACCGCAATGGGTTCGGCGGTCGACCACGGGTCG